AAAAACAGTTTATTTATAAATTGCTGTTAAGATTTCCTTTGATTTTCAATCTTGTGATTTATGCACTATGGTGCAATCACACATTCATTAAGCCACCCATTCAATTTAGTCAAATATTGAGATCGAAAAAGAAGATCACATTGTGCCTTTGTGATATAACTCGAGAGCATAGTATAGGTGGGAGTCGAAAGATGGGAGTGAAAAATACAGGTACATGATATCATCAATATTTAGGTGAATGCATTTTTAAAAACTCTCAAGTATAAAATAGATTTCATAATAGTTGTAGAAGAAAAATTACATATTCCTGTAGTGCCAGTCACATTTGATTACATATCAAACTGTGTGCACTATTTAGTTACACACCAAAAGATAGGCCAAGTAGCCTACAAAATAAGTAGTAAGTAATCGCGTTAAGTAAAAGAGTCCAAACCAACTTAGTTTCAAGATATAATTGCTTATTTTTTAGGCAGCGGAAGGAGCAGGAATGTAGGAAACTGCAGGCTCAGGCAAAGAAGCCAAGATTGATGATTTTGAGATAGTCCCTTCTTCTGCAGTGTCTTGAGCCTTAAAATCAAGCGAAGCATCATCATATATATCCCACCATTTCTTCACTAGCATCTTAATGTCTTCTCTCTGCATGTTTGCTTCAACCCCGGTATACCTCCATGGCTTTGATCCCTGAATATGATATTTTTAATCAGATTAGTACATGTTTTTCAAAAGTAGATCCTAATCATGCTGCACACTTTGGTGTATTAAGAAAGTACTTACAGCTGCACAGTAGTGAACAACTTTAACATTTTCGAGTTCAACGTTCTCAGGGTGTTGCCACAGCATTGCTAGAACCAGGTTGTATATCAGAGGGATGGGCTTGTAGACTTTTTCAAAGAACATGTTTAAGAAATCCTGTCATTTGCATAACAATTTTTTTTTATTAAGAAAAGAATTACTTCTAAAATAAGTGAATTTTTACTCCAAAAGTCGAGAGTATATACCTGTTCAGCAAATGGTGTTGGTGGAGTGATTTGGAGAGTTTGAAGCAGATTTTCATAAGTTACTTTGCTAGGCTCATACACAAAAAATCCAGCATTGAAATAGAGTGGAGGAGGGGAACCCAATTCAGCAGGCCAAGTAACCTTATTAGGGCACTGTTGACAGTAACCAATTGAATATTGTTTTGAATGGCTCCATGTTTTCTCACAGAAGCAATCCATTACAGCATAGAAATATCCATCTGGGGTGTCCAACAAATGGTCAATGTTTTCATAAACTTGAATGTCTGCATCAACATACACCATTTTGCTGTACTCCAAAAACTGTAATTGAATGTACATGAAAAAAAATAAAATAAATTATTCATAATTTTTGGAAGGAAAAATAAATTTGGATGATATAATGGCTTCCCACTACAATATACAATTTTCAGAAATTTCTCAGAATATACGAGTCGTAATCTGAGGTATAAAAGCTTAATGTTTTAGAGACGAGAAAGATTTGTTTATCTATGTTTGTATTACGATGCTTGAAGTTTTATGGATTGGTTGTTCTTATCCTATCATGATAACACACAACTTTTTAAGTTCATGCAATTTATATCCTTCATATGGGTTCTTGGATATTCCAAAGAAAATTTACTCTACTAGATGAATTTAAAAGAAGACAAAAACAGAATATATATTTTAGGGCAACTTGCATGAGAAATACACGCATGTAACTAAAGATTTATTTATTTTTATTTTTTTCATAGGTTGCATGACGTTATTGAGTATCTTCTTGTCTTTTTAGATTATTTAATTAATTAATTTTTGAATGTAAAATCTACAATAAAAGGTGTGATTAGGCCCCTTGTTTGGCACCGTTAATTTATAATACGTTTTTCTCTCTTATTTTTAACTACATATTTTCAATAAAATAATATTATAAATAAACTAAAAAATTTTCTTTCTTCTTCAACTACACGTTCTTCAAAAAAACACTATTCCATAATTTTTGATATGGGGAGGACATTTGATAAAATGTAACCGATAGACAAGAGAATAAAAACTTCGTACATGCAAGGGAGAGATGTGTATTATGTACTTACATTCCATATACGAAGCTTGGAGTAGTTGATGACATAGTAAGCCATGGCAAATTGAATTTGGTTCTGAGGTGGGTAAATAGGTTCGATTTCTCGAACAATACAACCTTGAGACCTCAAGATTTCTCTATGTTCTTCGGGCACATCGGGCAAGATTGCAACCACAAGAGGGTATGCACTTTTAACCTTTCTCAACCCCTTAGCCAATCCAACCACACCCTTAACATAGTCACCACTACCTGCTAAAAAAGTCACAAATGCCTTCTTCGAATCGAGTTTAGGGATCTTACCAGTACTAGCAAAAACATCAAGAGGTACTTCTGGGGCCATTTTTATTTTATTATTGAAGGACTCTGGAGTGACTCGAGGAGAGTTGGAATAGGTTAACTAGCAACGCTAAGGATGCCAATTGCCAACCCAACTAACTTGCCTTTGCTCCTGAACTTGAATGCCACTCTTGGCCTTGCTTAAATAGGACTCAAATGAAATAAAAATGCATTTCAAATGAAATTCAAATAAAAAGTGTAACATTTTATTTTGTGTGTTTTTTTTTTAAAATAAATTTGTGTGGAGAGAATGAATGAATGAACGAACATTATTTTCACCTCATCATCTCTAGCCTTATCATCAGATGAAGAAACGGCTCTGATTCAATTGCTTTAAGTCATATTCAATAAGAAATTGACACATTTGAATACAATATGCAATCTTTTTCTCCCATATTTTATTTTATTTTCCTTTTTAATTACCCAATGTGAAAGGAAAACAAATGAACGTGAAAAGGTGATGGAGTGGGTGTCATTTTCTTCGAATATTTCTAGTATTTAATAGTTGGCCGACAAGGGCATCTATAAAATTTAATTTTACTTTTTTGAATTTTTTAATATTTATATTGTGATGGTCCTAACATTTTTTTTTTTCCTTCTCGAGCTAAATTTACATTGTATGGTACTTGAGTTACACATACTTGAAAGAAAACAAGAGGATAATCAAAACTTGGGACGAATTTGTTACACGCATGCATAGTTTGAAAGCAAGTACATTAACACATGACAAAAAATAAATTTACTTTTAAGTTATTACTTTACAAAGTTGTAAAAAGCTTCAATTAGTTGATAATTTTTGAACCCCGTGGAGTTTACTCAACCCCTTCCCTAGAATATTCGAAGCCTACAAAACAAAAGTGAAGCTAAACCCTTCAATCTCAAACACAAACAAGCTAGAGCATGTTTGGCTACACTTGCATGGAACTCTAACTTATAAATATTAGTTTATGAAAAAAAAAAAATCTTTTATTAATACTGGTGAAAAGCACGAGCCTTGCACATGCTATGATGTAGTTGACTACATAATAGCGTAGGTATTAAAAAAAAATATTTATATCAAACATTAGTTACATAAAAAGTTGTTAAATGTTTCGAGTCAACATTAAATGTAGAGATAAAAAAAATCACACCCATAGTTATCGAAGAAATCGAGCCTCACCTTCCACCACAGACTCCAGTTATCGAAAAATGTCTTCTTACAAATCCCCGATAGAACAGTCATTGTCAATTATTTCATAAACCCCTAATCAATTTTTAAACAAAAGAACAAGAAAAAAAATCAAAATAAATAACTAATAAACCCAAANCAGTGAATTGAAATACCAGAAAACCACCGCAACAAAGTTGCAAGAACTTGCTCTTAAGTGCTCCAGATGGGATTTGCCAAACAAAAAAGAAGGCTTCTAATTATAGGATTTCTGGGGATTTGAAGGACTCCATTAGATCATCTGATATTGGTGGACTTAAATTCTTTCATTGTATCGCACCAGCCATGGATTTTCAGCTTGGAGGGTTAAATTTACATAGGTTGAACTATCCAAAATTCTGGTCTTATTAAGTAGTTTTCATCTTTTGGGAATATGTCAAATGATTCAGAATTGATGTAAAACAAATTGATTAAACAAATTAAAGGTTTTTGAAGCACTTATTATAGATAATGAATTGAAAACCAAAACCTTAATTATGTAATTAGATGTATGTTTGTGGTTGAGCAATAATTCAAGTTTATGTTCGTGGTGGAGTAATAATTTATTTTATTAAAAAATATATTAATATTCTAATTATGTAATTTTACTTAAAACCATTTAAATAAATAAGAAAAGCATTAAAAACTTTAGTCCACTTTGTAGTGGTAATATAATTACCCATAAGTTGTGTTTGATACACAACTTTTCCTTGGAAAATGGAAAAAAATTTCCATTTCCATGCAAAAGAAGTGTTTTATGGTTCTTTTGTTTTTTTGCAATGAAAATAAATTTCATAACAAGTTATAAATTTTTTTCATTTTAATAGACAATTTTCATGTAAAATAAAGTCAAACGAATACTAAATTTTGACAAAATTTTGTCAATATTTTTTTTTTTTACTTTTTGACAATAGAAACAAATTTTATAACCAATTATGAAAAAAATTATCACTTTAATGGACAATTTTCATGTAAAATAAAGTCAAACGAACACAAAAAGATTCAAAATTTAAAAACATTTCGGGTGAAAAATTATACCAATCAAACACACTTAATTAACAATTCTCTACAAAACAATTTTTAGACAATTACTTTCCCAAGAATTTATTTTCTTTCCACCCATTTTTCACCATTACAATCAAATGGACCCTAAGGGTCGTGGACATTTTTACCCATAAACATCCAATTTGAACGGCGGTCCAATTTTAGTTGAAGTCGGTTCGATTTCGAGTCTTAGAATTGGGATCCAAATAATTCTAATCTTGTTTTCGATTTTAATACAAACCAAACTTTGATTCGATTTCAAAAATATTTTTTTACGATCTCTCAATAAAATCATAAATCGTATATGTTCTGGTTCCTTTTTTCCTTTAGAACCAGCTGTTCCATTTTCATTAAGGCTGGGTACTTTTCCCCGAACTGATGGAATCGGACCAGAATTAGATATAACCAACCGGTTCGGTCCGGTCAGTCCACTAAATGGGTCAATTTTGGGACCGTACGTTGAGAACTAGTCGGGTTCGGTTCGGTTCTTGATATTGTCTTGAGAATAAATAGAAAATTATGTTCTCCCGAATTTCTCTTTTTGCTTGCACTGGCCTTAAAAGTATCTCACGTTAAAATTTCATTTTTCATACGCTTCTTCTCCTTTCCATTAATGGGTATTTAAAATTAAAATCTAAATAATTTTATAAATACTTTACAAATTCACAGTTTTAATGCAACCCAATATAAACAATATATTTTTAGTTCAATATTTTATAGGTATTCAAATTTCTTGTTGTTTTCATTGACCATTAAGAATCAATATCCTTAAGGATTACTAAAGATGATCAGATTATTGTTATATGAATTTTCGTAAGAATTAATTTTCGATCGAGATTTTACCGTTTATGATGTGCTCCATAATTTATTCTTTTTTTGGCTTTTATGAGTTGATAGTGAGTTTTGAAGTAAATTTTTGTTTATTATCTTCGTGAATTGACTTTTGTATTGTTAAATTACAAGAATGACAGTGATTTCATATTCTATTTTCAGTCTCACAAGTAATTTCATGCTATATCTTATAATTTTTTTAAATATAAAGAACCTGACCGATCCGAATAAGAGCCAGTTGGTTCTGTTTCAGTTCGGTTCTATAGTTGGATATAGAATCAATAGTTTCATTTTTCAGATTCTTATTGGTATTCGGTTCGATTTGGCTATCTTTAAAATCGGATCAAATCAGACGGTGCTCACTTTTAATTTGCACAATAATAAAATCGACTTCGATTCAATTCTCAAGATATTCGGACCAAACTACCCCGTTGTCCACCTTAAGAGAGAACAGCTTGCAGCATGTGCATGGTACTATTTACAGAAGAGATGACTTTTATTTTCTGATTGAAAGGGAATAAATTATCAACCTATCGTTTTATTATCATCTTCGTGGCCGTTCTTATCCTCTTTCACAGCCTCCAAAACTTTGATTGACCTGTTCACAACATGTTTGACAAGCATGTTACTTTTAATATTGTCCAATTGTTCTTTATGAATTTATTCAATTTAGATTTTTAATGATATTTTGAAATTTAAAAATATTAAATATAAACTTTTGAAAACTCTCTAAAAATATTTGTGTATTCAATTAAAACTTTTTTGAAGTCCCATAAATTTGTCTTTCATTAATTACAAGATTTTGGGAGACTTTTATTCAATATTTCTCTTTCATTTTCCTATATTAGAGTTATGATTAAAATTTATTTATTTATATTAGTTTTTATTTTTATTTTTTTATTTCTTATTGTTTATTTCTATTTTCTGTGAAAGAATTAAATTGTATTCTTATAACTTTTTTTTTCATTCATTTTTTTCTTAAAAAATATCTATTTTTAATTACTCTTTAAAGGTATATTATATTAATAATATTGAATATTAAATTTATTTTTTATATGTATAATAATTATTATTTATTTAATTAAGGTCTTAAATTTTTATTCTTTTTAATTATATGGGGGATAGAGAAGGATAAAGGGAATTGTGAGAACCATCACCTCGTATGTGATAATTTCACAATATTGCACTAGATCTATATAAATTATATTTTAAATGAAAGTCTTCAAATGTCTATAAAAATTTTAAAATGAAAGTCTATAAAAGTTTACAGAATTGATAGCCTCACTGGAAATTTATGGGAAGAGGAATAAAATATTCCCACATATCGAGTTCATTTACAAGTTGATACTCAATTCTCATTTACAAGTATATCTTCTTGTTACGATTTTTCCTTCTACCGACGAGCATATCTATAACAAGTTTAATTGGAATATACACCACCTTTTTATCAAAGCAAAATTCGAATATACAGGGCTTATTTCATTAATGGTTGTTGAACTTTGTACTCATTAGTCATCTTGGTAATTGAACTTGAATTTGTTTCGTACTCATCACTAAACGTTAAAAAAGTTTTCAATCAAATTACAGATCCAATTTGACGTCTATTTTTTAGTATACACGTGTGTTCCACTCATTGACTTAACTAAAAACCCAAACAGTTTCATGACTTGGCGCATAGAAATTAGGGATAGTAAAAAAGAGGGGACGAGTGAGAAATTTAATAACATCTCCACACCGTCAAGGATTTTTGTGAGATAGGATGGGGACAGGACAAAAATTAAAATATCACGATTTAATGTTTAATTAATAAATTTTAATGTTATTATTTATTGAAAAAAATAAAAATTAAATTAAAGGAATTGGGACAGGCTTGGGACCATGTTCCCCAATTGGTGCCAGGCAATGCCAGACCAATTAGGAGTGAGGATTTTTATTATTCCTAA